AATGTCCTGGGCAGCAGTGACACACGGATTCTCTTCCTACCCATGCGCTTCCTATATGGCCTGTTTCCCCTTTTCAGGGGAAGTGGAAAACTCTGTGACAACAGACAAGCCTTGTCCCTCAACAGGGGGCCATGAATGGAGAGGAGATTAAATAAATTATAAAGATGGTACCAAACACATTTATTAACTGAAGTAAAACTGTAATGAGTTCCTGTTACATTGCTTAGTTATTAACATTGAGAAACTGCTTTCCTTAAGTTGTATCCTTAGTTAGAATTTTAAAGCTTAAAAATGAATCTGTAAACTTTACTCTAGGGGTGCTGTTGGGTGGGTTGGATTAGCTGTCAAATATAAGCCCAGTCCTGTTTATTCTCTTGCTATCATGTTTTATGTTGCATTACAGTAGTTATTTTGCTTTCACTCCCAATCATAAAGCAGTAGATTTCTAGATGGTGTGAGATTCAGCTCAAGGAAGCCAGGTTTGGAGTTAGGGTTGGCTCTGATCTTCCCAGAGGGTTTATACATGTGGCTGGATTGAAAGGGCTGGGCCCCACGTTCTCTCTGCTTGCTCTACCTCAGCAGGCTTGTGTTTTGCTTGGAGCTTCTCCTTTTGATTTAAAAAAATAAGAGGAATTGAGGGACTGAAATCACTGACACTTCAGCCGGTGAAGAACTAACCATGTTTTGAGTCATTTTCTTGCAACATCCCACAATTTCCTCCTGAATCCAGTGGCTACATGTCAGCTGTGCTTTCTACATGCCCAGTTGGATTCTCATGGGGAGGCGTTAGTGACCTATACTTTTGTCTCCCTTGTCATTGTCCAGAATAAATTCTGGCATAAAATCTGCGTGAGTCACCCTCCTGGTGCTGCAGCCTCACATAAGAGTGAGTCACTTATTCTGATTATCATGAGCACCAGCAACCCCCCCCCCGAAGGACAGTGGTATTCTTTTAGAAGGAGACATCCTTAGTGTTGAAGTCTGTCAACGTTAGCAGGGGAGCTCAGCTGACATTGCCCTTGCCTTCTTGGCGTAACATTGCTGAGAGTCGTGTTCTTGCCAAGGGAGTGTAAAAGCCTTAGAGTCCCAATGTGCCGGTGTGACGTTACAGCCCACCAGAAGGGGAAGTTGGCTTTATGAAGATAAGCCTGGCTAAAAGCTGCTGGATGCATAATGTGACTCTGCAACCAAAAACATTGTCATGCCTCATATATTACAATGTGCTTTGAAACCAGGGTGGGGATGAGTTGTGCAAGAGTTGATGTCGAAACTTGCTAAAGTGTTCAACGTGTGTCTTCGTCCTGTATTAGCTGCCTGCTGGTGAGCCATTAGTGTGAGGCGGCGTGCATATGCTCCCATGCTAACATCGGCAACGTTGCCAAGCCATAACGCGCAGAGAATGTTTAAGCTGTGTAGTCTGGAATTTGACATAATGGCTCTTGATACTGAAAAGCTGACTTTTGTAATCGAAGTAATATGGCATGAGAAGCTCGGAGACTGTGTGAAGTGAGAACAGCTGTCTCTACTGGGGTCACAGCTTTCCTTATGTTTACTAATCCTGGATGCTTTTATTATCCAAGTCTAACTTTATAAAAACAAAACGATACCCACTGATTACCATAGCTCAGAACTGACACCCCCTCTCCCCCCACCCCATCTTCCATCGGACTCTGTAGGTGCAGAGATGTTGCTTGTTCATACCCAGTTGACTGGTTGGTCACGCAGCTGTCTATTCCACCCTCATCAGTGTTCTGATTATGTGTCCCTCTTGACATCCTTCTTCTCTTGACCCTATTACGATCTTGGCTTCCAGGCCTTGTCCTTTATGCTGACTGAGAGGGTCCTGGTTCCCAGCTACCATTATGCAGTTAAATGATGATTGAAGGCAGGCTGTGATATCAGTGATCTGTGCCTCCACGATTAGAGGGGATGGACCGTGCTCTGCCAGAGTGGGCAGCATGACGCAGTGCTTCCTAGTAAAGAGGAAGGCTTCCCAAGCCACACCCTGGAAATGTGTGTCCTGGAAGCCTTTAGTTTAGGGCAAGGCATCTAGCCTGGAGATGACTACAGAAACGCAGGGAGCTATCTAAGAGTCCTCCTCTGCTAAATGCACATGAAGGGGGTGTCGAGGGCAAGGCTGAAAGGTGTGTGTCTAGTGTGGGGACAAGCCAGAGACATGTTGAGCGGTTGTATCACCGCTGCCAGTGGCAGAATCAGAAGCAGAACTGTCCTTAGCCCCCCTTAGTGGTCAGTATCTGTGAAGATCTTTTCCAGAGAATGTCCACGGCTCGATCCTGGGTTATATTTTGCTGGCTGTTTTGAGGGAATTTCATTCCCAAGTCTCCAAATTCCGTAACTACATTGTAAGTTTAGTTCTCCCCTCACTTGCTGGATGTGGTTCAGTGTTGAATACACAGCCCCAGCTGTGGAACACATGAAGCCAAAATCCCCCCCCCCCCCCCGAAATGAAATATTCCCAAGCAGTGGTATCACTTACAGTGAAGGATCCCAGTGTGTTTTAGTGGATCTCTGTGGGATGTTTGGCCAATCCCACCTTGTTTGGAAGTTAATCGGGGTACTTTTAATTTGAAAGGGCTTGTTCATATGTTACACAGAAAGAGAGAGAGAGTGAGTGAGAGAGAGAGAGCGAGCTGTATTAGCATAGGGTCAGGGAAACCTCATGTAGTCTGGAGCAGACTCTGTAGGACCTCTGGTCACTTTCTCCGAGGGTGCAAGCTGTCAATTTGGGGAATATCAGCCATGGATGTTCAGCATCCGAGGATCCCTCCCATGATCCCTGAAAATGGGGTCGCCCATGTGGGGGTAAATGACATGTCTGTTGTTGAAGGAGAGGAGGCAGAAGTGCCCATCTCAAAGTCCCAGAGGAGACGCAGTGACATCAAGGTTTATAAGGAGTTCTGTGATCTCTACGCGCTTTTGTGAGTATCTCCTTGAGCATCATTCACATGGAATGTCTCTTTTGTTCCTGAGATTAAAAGCTTTGGCATATTCTTGCAATTAATTCTGATCAGCTGTTAAGGTCATACGATGTGCTTCTCCAGAACAGTTTAACAGGCAAAGCATTTTTGAAACTGGCCAACATACGGCAGTTGGCTTGAACGTATGGAAGTTTATGAAATGAGGATTCAGACGCCCAACTTGAATAGCTGCATGTATTTTAATATAGAAAGGACCCAGCTCTGTCTTGGCTCGCGAAAGGACTTCTGGCATTTCCATACTCAGCACCAACCTCGTGTGCATGTAAAATACCCCAGTGAGCACAACAGTACAAAACGTCAGAAATTCCCCTGTGCACCCATGCCCTGACTTCCTGCAGACGGGAACAGCAACAACAAACTACTGGAACATAACCTCATAGGGAGCGGTTAATGTAGACCATATCAGGCAAGTGAGACCTTTGTGTGAGCTGCTGATCTTAAAACAACAATGGCTTATTTTCAGAATGATTATCCTTTTCTATGAAGATAGAGCTCAGGTCTCTCGTATTTGTAATGTACTAATGGGCTTAATCTGTAATGTACTAATGGGCTTAATCTTTAATTTGCTAGATCAACCACTGCCCTTATACATGGTATGGTGTTGACTGTTGATGTGTGGTGGAGCTCTGTGACTTTTCCTGTATATGTACAGCAGCCACAACACATTTGGTCTAGGAATCCCCAAAGAATGAGTGCCCGGTGGCTCTTCAGGAAATAACAGCCTGGACTGGAATCTGCCCATGCTCACAAGCACACTCAATCAAGATCTCCTTGGTGCTGATGAGTGAAGGAGGGCTGGGTCTATGCTTCGGCAATTAGCAAGTGGCTTGAAGCGGATGTCCGTTTTCATGGATAGGAGGTCGCCAATGCACCCAGTTGCTGGTTTGTTATCTCTAGTGGCTTTCATCAGAAGGCAGGGCAGAAACTCCTGACCTGGATACATGGAAATGCCCAGGGGCTTGTAATTTCCTGACCGTGCTCTTGATTGCCAGGGAGGGGCGGTCTGCTTGATCAGAGTCTGCTTCCATTTTAGCTCTTCGCCCTGTATTTTGGGTGAATGTAGTTATTAATGAGTGTATCGGAAGGTTCCGATGAGCATGATGGCCTGCACTGCGGCCTCATTTCTTACCCTCTTGATGCCTATTACTTCAGCCCTTCCAAGTAAATTTCTTGTTAACGTCTTTTTCTGCGAGTCGGCTGCTTATGTTTGAAGTAAAGCAGTTCTTTGTCCGCATGACTCGGTTAACATGAAAAATGTTAAAAAGGTGAAAAGTGCAGAGATATTTCATTGGTGATGACTCTTTTTTTCCCCCTATAGAATTGAGTAAACATGAACTCTTCTTCCAGCCCGATGGCTCTTAGAGAAGCTTTGTTTGGTTTGGAAATATGACCGCTTTTCTTCGGTCTCATCCAAATAAGATGGGGGAATGGGCTAAGCTTCTCCTGGCATGTAGCACCACTCTGTGTGTGTGAGCTGAAGGTGAGCCAGCTCCTAGCTCCTACTGAGGCTGCTTTCTGGTCGATTCCACAGTCCATGTAAAAGTACAGTTGGAGCGGGCTGTCCCTGATGGAGCCCGAGTGATAGCCCTCTGCTAATGAAGCACGGGCATGCTAATGATGCAAGTGGGTGGTGTTAGGGAGTTCCTGCTCCTCTGCCTGTGGGAACAAGCCAAGTTATGCACGGTCACTTTGCGTAATCTTTCCTTGGAAAGCGCGTCAGCGCTCCCATCAAAAATGCTGGTGCACCTCTACTCCTACTTCTGCTCAGAATAACAAGAAGTACATTGAATATAATGGCTGGAAGTGTGCCCAGGGAAAGATGACGGGTCAGCCTCGCATTTCCAGGGTTGTGGGTTCGAATCCAGCTTTGTGTGTGGGATTGACATCATCCCCAGGCCTGCTGTGACCCACTGCTTGCTGAGCAGTTGTGGGAGAGAGGCGGATGAATACAGCTGTGCCATGAAAGGTTACCGGAGGGTTGTCTTGTGCTCCTTTCTGCAGCAACATGGCAAATGCCCTGGCAAATGCCACCTGTGAGCGCTGCAAGAGTGGCTTCGCCCCAGCGGAGAAGATAGTGAACAGCAATGGGGAGCTGTACCACGAGCAGTGCTTCGTATGCGCTCAGTGCTTCCAGCAGTTCCCTGAGGGGCTCTTCTACGAGGTGAGGGCGCCCAGCGCTGCTATCTACACATCCCTCTGTGTGCCGTGTGCTCCCTTGCTAACCTGTGCTCTCGTTGTGCAGTTCGAAGGTAGGAAATACTGTGAGCATGACTTCCAGATGCTGTTTGCCCCGTGCTGCCACCAGTGTGGTGAGTACTCTATCAAGCAGCTTTCTCAGTTTACAGGCTCATAGAAAATGTACGAGATTTAGAATAGAAACTAGGAACCACCGGCATCCGATGCTGTTCAAGTTTCAGATGACTTCTGCGATCCTGAGGAATGCACAGTAGACTTCCTTTCCCAAAGTGATTGCTGGTGATGTTATTGTCTTGAAGGCCCACATTCAGATGGATGATTTGATTTGAAGTTGTAATGCAAGTGCAGAAATAAATGGCTATTCATAACAACAGAATACAGTAGGGCTCTTCAAATATAGACCTCGATTCCAAACCCAGTCCTTGTTTTCAGTTCTCCCAGGTAGTTAGTTTAATAATTACTGATTCTGATTGGCCAGAGGCTTCAGGCCCAGCTCACAGGTAAAGGAAGGCTGGAAAATCAGCAGTGCTTCGACCTTGAGGACTGTGATTTAAACAGCCCTTTAATAGTCACCCCCTGTTTAAAAAAAATAAAAAATAAATGTTTATAACAAAGGGTACAAAAACATGTCTTTGTTAATAGTTTTAAAAAGCTTGCCAAGAATGTAAACCAAGCTGCAAAATATCTAAATATTGCTTTCTGTTAGTACGACACATTTTCCATCTTTTTTTCTTTCCTTTGGTTACCATTCAGTAAATACGCATAAACTCAAGTAATCGGGCTTCAGAATGAAAAAGAAACTCAGAAATGCTTCTGATTCGGTGTCACATGTAATGTTTTGTATGTCTGTAACCCCAGACTTTAATCCCCGTGCTGCATGTGCATCTAGAACCTGTGTGTGGTGCTCTAGCCAGGTCAGTCTTGTGTAACTGCTGTGAGTCCCTGTGCTCAGACTAAGGTCTTCCCTGTGCCTCAGGCGAGTTCATCATCGGCCGTGTCATCAAGGCCATGAACAACAGCTGGCACCCGGACTGCTTCTGCTGTGACATCTGCCAGGCTGTGCTGGCTGACGTGGGCTTCGTCAAGAATGCCGGCCGGTGGGTAGCGAGCATGGCTCTGTGGGCGTGTTGGGACCCTCCACACGCCTGTGATAGGCTCTTTGGGATAGTATTACATCACTTCCAGAGCATGTGAGTGGAGCAGGGCAGAGCGATGAGAATCTCCACTCGTCGCTCACAGAGCGGTACGCTCCCCTGCTCACCGTCCCTTTGGTCAGTTTTCACCCCACTCCAATGAAGTCACTCACCGCTCGCTCCAAAAAAGAAAACAGTCTGCAGTGTATTTTAATTTTAGCTTAAACTGTAGTCTGGCTAACTGAGCAGCCAAATCCACATTCAAGCAGAAATAATTTATTACAAGATGTGAGCGGGTGACGCTCAAGTTTTTTTTTCTCAAATATGAGCTCACATGCTCTGATCACTACTGCTACATAATCCATACTGTACTGGGTCACAGTGAGCTGGGAGCAGTTCTCAGGCAGCTTAGGGCATAGGGGAGGGGGGACACATACTCATTCCTTGTTACTCTTTACTACTCCCGTGCTCATCGACCGTGTCATGCCCCTAACAGGCACCTGTGCCGTCCGTGTCACAACCGTGAGAAGGCACGGGGGCTGGGCAAGTACATCTGCCAGAAATGCCACGCCATCATCGACGAGCAGCCGCTCATCTTCAAGAATGACCCCTACCACCCCGACCACTTCAGCTGCACCAACTGCGGGTCAGTGAGCTTGCACTCCTGCTATGCAGATCATAACTTCTGAAATCTTTGTCATTGACTTTGGAAGCTCTGACATTAAAGTGGGAGGACACATGTTTTGGTCGTCCCTTCAACTCTGGGTGTCTGGCTCAGTGGTTTGGATGCTGTACCTTTGACTGGAAGGTTGCTAGGACAAATCCCAGGGTCGGCAGAGTGATTTCACTATTGGACCCTATGAGCAAGGCTCGAAACCCCCAGTTGCTCCTGAGACTGGCTGACACTGATTTCTCAAAAATGTTCATTTACTTTTGGTTAAAGCCTCTGCTAAATAAATTGATTGTAATTGTAATAATTGGGGGGGGGTGGCAGCACCACCCTCATCCATCTGGTCACCTTGATGAGAATGTCCTGAGAGGAGAAAAAAGCATGACTCATCCTTTTTAAACTAAATGGGAGCCAGTCAGGTGAGATGAAGGGGGTTAAAGGTTCATCCTCCTCGTCCTCCTCTTGGCCGCAGCAAGGAGCTGACAGCAGATGCCCGCGAGCTCAAGGGGGAGCTGTACTGCCTGCCGTGCCATGACAAGATGGGCGTGCCCATCTGTGGGGCCTGCAGGAGGCCCATTGAGGGCCGTGTGGTCAACGCCATGGGCAAGCAGTGGCACGTGGAGGTGCGTACCCTGCTTTTGTAGTTTGCTGGGTCCGTCCAGTACCCCGACATGGAGGCTGTCCAGGGAGGCGTGGGGCTGGAGGCGAGGGTTGCAGATGTTTAAACTCGCTCCTCTAACATTTATGTTTATTCATGTTGTTCAGATCCCTCTATAAGCTGGGCTAACATGCCGGGCTGGCGCCTTGTTTTTGCAGCATTTTGTGTGCGCCAAGTGCGAGAAACCCTTCTTGGGGCATCGTCACTACGAAAGGAAGGGCCTGGCCTACTGTGAGACTCACTACAACCAGGTAGCGTAACCCCCCCCCCCCTCCCCAGTCCACATTCACCATGAGAGGAAGGGCCTGGCCTACTGCCAAACTCACTACAACCAGGTAGTGTAACCCCAGGTATAGCCAGGTAGCATGGAGGAGTATGTGATAGCGCTCTTCACCTGCTGCACAGTCAATACTGTTATATCTTCATCTTGTCATGGGTTTGAATGATGAAGGTAAATCACAATTTGTGACAGACTAATGTTTACCAAAGTTCAGGAAGCATATTTATTGAAATGTTTTTTTTTTTTTTTACAGCACATTTCATACAGGTGGTAATAATCAGTAGATGATGTGAAAATGTCCGTGTTCTTGCATGTTTTAAAGAGTTTGAAGCACATGCCCTTTTTGCTGCTTGTAACCTCTGCTGCCTCCACCCTGATCTTTACAGCTCTTTGGAGATGTATGCTACCACTGCAACCGCGTCATTGAGGGCGACGGTAAGAAGTTCTCCTCATTAAATGCTTGTCTGATGTCATAGTGCTGGATGAAGAAGTATCAGCTTTCTCTTCAGATAACATGCCATAGAGCTTTTTGATAAACACAGTGCCGTTCTATTGTAGCCCTCTTGAGAATAAAGGCTGGAGCGTAATAGGAAGCCTGTCTGTCTTTCAGTGGTGTCCGCGCTGAACAAGGCCTGGTGTGTCAACTGCTTCGCCTGTTCAACCTGCAACACCAAGCTCACGTTGAAGTGAGTAAGGCCGCTTTAGCCGGCCACCTGAAGGGGGTGTGGCTAGTTGGCTGGGGGCGTGGTCTGATGGAGGATGGCTGGGAGAGCTGTGGCTGGGATGTCTCAGTCCACCACGAGATGCTGATAGTTAAGGTGCAGACAAGCACTAACAGGCAATTAACTTGACCTGAGATGATTAAAATGCTGATGTTACTTTTGAAAGGGTCATGAAATGGGAAGCACAGAGTTACATTATCCTGCATTTAGTTACGGTTGAGATCAGACAGGGATCTGTGTGAAGAGGCTCTGGTTGACTCCTACAGGTACGGAGCGGTACTCCGCACACGGACGCCACATGGCATGCTTCTTGTCAGCCTGTGTTGCTTCCTGTCTAACAGCTCTAACGTCCTCTGGTGTCCCTCTCTCCTTCCATGCCATCTCTTTGGTCCTCTTCGTCTCTTTTTTCCTTTCAAACTCACCCACGTCCCATTCTTCCTTGGACATTGGCACCCCCCCCCCCTCCATCCCCCCATGCTGGTCCCGGCCACACAGGGACAAGTTCGTGGAGGTGGACCTTAAGCCGGTGTGCAAGCACTGCTACGAGCGGATGCCCGAGGAGCTGAAGCGCAGGCTGGCCCGGCGAGAGCGTGACTCCAGGGAGAGGAGAAAGAAAGCGGCTGTGTGCTTATAAAGCTCCCTTCTTCCCTCTCCTTCACTGCGCTTTCAGTCTTTTACTGCTGGTCAGTCTTCGTTTCTCCTCGATGCTGACTGGCATGCCTTTGCCTTGTTCTTTACCCGTCTCTCTGAGTGGCTGGATTATGCAATCCGGAGAAATTTCAGAAATTAATAATCTGTGTAGAACAAGGCAGCCAGATGGAAATTCATTTAAATGGTAAAGCCAGAATCCCCCCCCTCTCTCACCACCATAAATCCCAGCTGAAGATATTAGTGAAGCATCATCGCAAGTTTTGCTGCATTCTTCAGGAAATCCACAGTCTTTACTACGGATAGCTTGCCAGTGTTTGAACTAGATATTTAGATGCTTTGATTTGATTTGTGTAAGTCCTCTAAAATATAAAGTAGTAATTATAACAGAAAAGCACTCTGGGTAAACTGAAAGTCTTTAATACCTGATAGCTACATAGCTAAATGTTCATACCCGGTGTATGTGTCTTCTGTATATGCATGGGACCTGGATATGTGTACTTGAGTGGATAGTTCTCTTTATGCTGGACAGACAGAGGCTTGTTTACCATGTGTCTGTAATATCAATTGAAATTCAGTTCTGATATGTCTGAAATCATCTGTATTCATTTTACTAGCTTTGCAGGAATGGTACTGTAACCAGCAGTTTAGTGTTTTTTTTTTTTTTTTTTTTGTAGAAACGAAAAAATAAGAGATTCCATATTTAAGACTCTCTCTCTTGAGTTATGGTTACAGTGGGAGTGATGACCTTGGTCACTGTGAGTGTGGCTTAAGGAGGTCTTGGTTGTGGATTATGCTCTAGCACCGCTGAAGGTTAAGTGCTGCTTCATCACTGTGTAACCAGCAAGTCAGCAGGCCGGGTTTCATTCATACAGAATATATCGCTCAATATGGAGCTGTTAAATACAGCGGGACGAAGGGAACATCAGCGTCACGGTGCTGCGGCTGCCGAAAGGCCTGCTAACTGACTTAAGGCCAGGTCAGGGCCGGCTTGTGGCTCAGCAGGTTAGGATGCTGTGATCAGAAGGTCACTGATTCAAATCATAGAGTCAGCAGTGAGATTTCGTTGTTGGGTCTTAACATCTGCTAAGTGGATAAAAACGCGCAAATGGATCGGAGAGTGTGTGGTCATTCGTATGTGGCTGCACATGGGCCTTGCTACCGCTTCGTGACCAGCACGAGGTTGGATTGCAGAGTGGCTTCTCACGCTATGTATGGTTGCACCCAGGAACAAGTTTGTGGAGTTCGACATGAAGCCGGTGTGCAAGAAGTGCTACGAGAAGTTTCCCCTGGAGCTGAAGAAGCGGCTGAAGAAGCTGGCGGAGACAGTGGGCCGCAAATAGGGACGTGGCCTTCGAGAGCTCCTCCCCAAGCTGGAGCATCCCTGTGGCATTTTACCGCAGAGAATTCAAATGTTTGCTTAGGTAAAATGTTAAAGGTTAAAATGTAAGAAGTCTGTAAAAGTCTGCACTAAAAAAAAAACCATACTAACACCATTTTTTTTCCTTATTACAGTGTATCATAAATGTTGCTATAAGATTTTAAATTGCGGACCATGTTTTCATTGTATGATTCCACGTTGGCACCCGTCCTTTTCATTAATATGTTGATGGTATTATCTTTGAGAACGGTGTGGCATATTGAAGGTGTTTTGAACCTGAAACATGGATCAGCTCCTATACTGTATCTCCACACCGCTCAGCATATTTTGTGCATGTTTTGTATTTAAATACCCCCACCCCCGCATTGTGCCTTATCTATCTAAAGCAAGTTGATTATTGATATATATTCAGTATGCTGTCTTAATGCAATTATTATGAACAGGATTTTGACAAGCACGAAGAACAGAATTCCATATTGTTCCCACTGTCGTTCTCATTGCTCATCTTGAGTGAAAACCAGAACACACAGTAACCCTCATGGACCAGAGCCACACACCCGCAGTGGTGCTGATTCTGGCTAATTGAGCAGAGCTTGAGAGCATTACGTCAGTGGGTAGGGCAGTCTGTTCTTCACATGGTGCCCTTCTTTGTGACTCAAATCTTTCTTCAAACAAAACAGCAGCTTTGATTAATTTATACTCTGAAGGTATTGATCTAAAAAGGATGTTTTAAAATGATTCCTTTTAAAAGATGACATTTAACTGTCATGTCTTGGGACCCTTGTAATCTGTCCTGAACTTTTTCATATGTGGGTATATTTGTCACAGATTTTGTTGTATTTAAATCAATCAAGGTTGCTTTTTGAAGAGTTCTTTTTAGAATTTTGTATAAAGTATGTTACGCAAATAATTCTGCACATTCCACAACCATAGTTAGAAATGTCTTTACAAAAATTGTGCAAAATGCACAGACTAAACAAATATTTACTAATTGATGCAAGTGTTGAAAGATATATGCAGCTATTTAATGTCCTGCATGTTTGCAGCTCTTAATGCCACTGGATGTTCCTGTATTTCCTGTTGTCTTAATTCCACACTGCACTCCTCACTATTTTCCCTCTGCTTCTGTTGTCCAGCTTTGCTGTTCCAATAAAGAAACATTTCCATTTCTACATAGTAAGAGTTTGATTGTGTACAGTATTTTCCTCAATGCAAACAAGTTATTTTCACATTTTGGATAAACCTTACATGTAACAAGTGAATGCAAATTTGTTTTATATAAATCATACATGATGTGTTATAGGGGTGGCACAGTCACTCGGTGGTTATGACCTGTAGGCTGAGGCTTTGAATGCCACTCCCAGTGTTGAGGTGGTGGGATTTGCATGTTCTTCCCATACTTGCACTGGACTCCCCCCACAATTAGGTGAATTGCCCACATTGTGTTCACAGTGTGTGTTTTGCGGTTTACTGACTTACTGTGTTTGGAAGTGGTATTCAAACTTTTTTGTCCTGATCCCTGCCCCCATACACATGCATACATACGCACAAAATGGTATTCCAGATACAGAGTTAAAAACCATAATTCTACAGCATTGAAAGCCATGGCAAAGGGTCACTTTGGTACCATGCAAACATGATTTTTAGCTTGCTTACAGAGAGCTGGTTTTTAGTGCATTCCTCCACTCTGACGATGAACACTGGCTCACCACAGGGCTGTGTGCCGACCAGCTCGTACTCCCTCGTCACTCATGACTGCATACAGTACCTGCCCACAACCCCAGTATGATAATTAAGCATGCAAATGACACCGCAGTGATAGGACTGACAATGATGAATTAGCTGACAGGCAGGAAGTGCAGCCCCACACAGGATGGTGCTCATAAAACAGCTTGGTTGTCAATACCATCAAAACCAAGAAGGGCAGTGAGGTAGCTGCTCCAAACAGCATCAATGGAGAAGTGGTGGAAAGTGGCTTAACCTTCAAGTTCTTGGGCAATCAACACCACAGCACTGGTCATCTGCTTGTGACTTTCTGCTGTTGCAGCATTGAAAGCATACTGACACACTGAATCTCAGCATGGTACTGCAGGCTGCAACACCATGGACAGGAAAACATTTACATTTATAGCATTTGGCAGATGCTCTTAGCCAGAGCAACTTACATAAGTGCTTTAAGACTCTACAATGAATTTTTCCCGATACTAGCTCAATAAAACCAAGGCTATGAATACCATTGATCTAATACTCTGTTGAGAAAGTGCGTTTTTTTTTTTTGATAAAAGGAAAAAACTGAGTATAATGCCAGAAGTGCTAATTCAGGTATTTCTGGAAAAGGTGTGTTTTAAGTCGTCTTTTGAAGACATTCAGTGACTCAGCTGTTCGGACATCTAGGGGGAGTTCATTCCACCAACTTGGTGCCAGAACAGAGAAGAGTCGGGAGGTGTGTCTTCCTTGTGCCTTGAGGGGTGGTGGGACCAGTCGAGCAGTGCTGGAGGACCGGAGAGATCGTGGTGCAGTGTGGGGTGTGATGAGGTCTTTTAGGTAGGATGGAGCCAGATCATTTTTGGCTTTGTATGCGAGCATCAGTGTTTTGAATCTGATGCGGGCAGCCACAGGAAGCCAGTGTAGGGAGCGCAGCAAAGGAGTGGTGTGAGAGAACTTGGGAAGGTTGAAAACAAGTCGAGCAGCTGCATTCTGAATCAGTTGGAGGGGACGAATGAAGCTCAGTGGTAAACCCGCTAGAAGCGACTTGCAGTAGTCAAGGCGGGAGATGACGAGGGACTGAACGAGTATCTGGGTAGCCTGTGTGGAAAGAAATGGACGTATCCTTCTGATATTAAACAGGAGAAACCGACAAGAGCGGGAAACGTTGGCGATATGTGGGGAAAAGGACAGACTATTGTCCATGGTAACCCCAAGGTTGCGAGCAGTAACCGAAGGACGGATCAGGGAGTTGTCGAGGAAGATCGCAAGGTCCAGGAGGGGGGATGAGTCAGTGGGGATGTACAGCAGTTCCATTTTACTAGGGTTGAGTTTCAGTTGGTGATCGGTCATCCAAGATGAGATGTCTGCTAGACATGCAGATATCTTAGTGGAGACATGAGTGTCTGAAGGAGGGACGGAGAGGATGAGTTGAGTGTCATCTGCATAGCAGTGGTAAGAGAAGCCATGAGAGGATATGACCTCACCAAGAGATTTGGTATAGAGGGAGAACAGGAGTGGGTCAAGAACCGAGCCCTGCGGGACACCAGTGAAGAGACTACGTGGCGTAGATGTGAGTCCTTTCCATGTCACTCGGTATGATCGGCCTTCGAGGTAGGATGCAAGCCATTGCCAAGCCAAACCACCAATGCCAAGACTCCTAAGGATGGATAGGAGAGTCGGTTAACCGTGTCAAATGCTGCTGATAGGTCAAGAAGGATGAGGACAGATGACAGTTTGGCTGACCTAGCAGCATGC